GTGCCCGGTCCCTTACCGCCGCCTGCTGGAAGGCGCCCTTGGTGTAGGTGCCGCCGCCGCGGTAGGCGATGGCCGGGATCTCGCGGCTGAGCAGCGCGCACTTGTGCTGGCGCGCCCGGCGCTGGGAGATGTAGTCCACGCGCGGCACCACGTTGCTCTTGGAGGAGAAGGTGACGATGGCCACGCGCGTGGCGGCCGGCACCACGGGGAAGTCGGAGAGCAGCTTCTTGACGAAGCGCAGCTCGCTGAGGAAGTTGGCGGGCCCCACGCTCGAGGACTCGTCCACCAGGAAGACCAGCTCCAGCCTCCCGCTGCGCTCCCGCAGCCGCCGCACCTGGCGCTTGAAGGAGCGGCCCAGCCTCTCCACCTTGGCGGCCGTGGTGTCCGGCGGCGGCGGCGGCTGCAGGGCCACCCGCGAGGCGGCCAGGGCGAGGGCGGTGAAGTTGAGCGGGGGCTGCGGAGCGCCCGCCCAGCCCAGCGCCAGGCCCCCCCAGCAGCAGAGAGCCAGCAGGGGCCACATGGTCCGGGCCCCCGCCCCGGGCAGAGCGCAGCCGGCGGGGACTCCGCGCTCGGCTCCGGGCGCCGCGCCCTGGCCGGGGATCAGCTCCCGGCGCTCTGCCCCATTCACAGCAGGACGCGCGGCAGCCCCGGTCTCTGGCACTCGCGGCTGCAAAGGGACGGGTCGCCGTCGGTGCTCGCTCGCTGCCTCTCGCCGCCTACTGCGGGGTGGAAGGGAAGGGGGCAGGCGAGATCAGCGGCTCTTCTCCCGGCTCTCCCCTCCCCTGGGCTCCAGTTGCTGCTGACTGGATTCCAGGGCACCAGAGCCCCCAGCGCGCTCAGCCTGTCCGCATTCCCAAAGCAAACGCAGCGGCACCGAGAGCCCTGATTGATCCCATATGTCTGGCGTGCAGCGGCGCAGGCAGGCGCTGGGGGATGAATCCGGATACCAGCAGTGCCACGCTCATTGGAAACACGGTGTGGAGAAATGACGCCCAGCTCGGGGGAGAGGAGGGAACAAGTTTCAGGCCCCCTTAACGAGTTCCCCTTTAGAGGCATGAGCACTACTATTGTCACCCGAAAATGTTTTGTTGTGAAAGATGGATGGTTGGCCACGGGACTTGAACCTATACCACCTAAATCCAGTTCCTAGCTCTGTTACAGCTACCCTGTGAACTTGAGCAAGTCATTTAAAGCTGTCTGTGACTCAGTTTCCCCAGCAATACTATGGAAATAAATACTCCATTAATGGTTGTGGGGTCCTCAGCTACTAGGGAGTATGGGACCATATACATACCTAGACAGACATATCTTTAGAACATCATCTTAACCTTTTTGAAGTGAAAAAGATTCCCATGGGGTAAGTAAGAAGCCAATAACAGATTGTAGGGGTTCTGCAGCTTTTCTAGTCTGTGGACCAGTTTGTTAGAGAGAGATACTCCCCTGAAAGAGTATTGTCCTTTCCTACATCCAATGAGCTTCCATAGATTGGTGGAATCTTGTATTGGTTCACATGGTTCATTTATTTAGTCTCCTTTTCATTTTCCACTAGGTGCAATTAAATATGAGCATGCACCTGGTGCATTTACAACTCAACTCCCTCATTTAATTTTAGTCATTATCAACTGCAATATTCTAGTGGCAATATTGTCCCTTCACTGGTGGCACTACTGATGGGAAATTGATGGCACTAGTGCTCTCTTGAGATTGGGTCAGGACAAATTATTTTGTAAATGGAAAGGGAGACTGCACTGACAGAGGTTATCACTGGATTAGAAAAACTTTTTAGAATGAAAGTGCCGCATAGATGCAAATATCTGTTATTCTTTCATTCATACAGTATTTTTCAACCTAAAATGCTTCACAAACACACAGTTTGTACATACAACCACTTTAACACTGAAATACAACCACCTCTGTAACAGCTACCAGACAGACATTTGCCACACAGCATGCTATATACCAAGTGTTGGCTTCCAGCAGTGTTCATTGACTTGCTTTAGCAGGCAGAGGTCCGCACCTCCTCAAAACCCACAATGGGCACTAAAGACTTGTCTATACAGTGTGGTTAATCTGCAGCTTTTTGAGTTAATCCACTTTTAAAAGACTTATCTACACACAACAAAATTCATGGTAGTGCACCAACTCTGCATTTATCACAAACTATAGCATTCTCTTTCAAAGTGAACTAACTTTGCTGCAAAGCGAGTTAGTCTGTTCTATCATTTGTGTGTATACAATGCTGCTGCAAACTACTTCGGCAGTCTTCCAGTAGCTCCCCCACCCCAACTGCTTTGCAGGAGACTGTTACTGACCTGTCTGTTTACCTGTGTGCCCTCCCCTACTCAGAGGTCAAGTTGACTGAATATCCCCCTCCCCCGTTTATAAACAGGCACACAGCCTCATTTTGTCCATTCACTCCTGGATTCGAGTTTATTACAATAGCTGTACTAATACTCCAGAAGTCCTACCAAGTGCCTCAAACAGCCACTTGGAGTCCTGCTGAGAACCTGGATCTTATCACCATCTGGAGAGAAGCATTAGTGTGGGAAGCTCTTGGGGTGAGCCCCTGGAATACAGACCTTTTGTGGACATTGCTAGACAGATGTCTGCTCGGGGCTGTGACGGGGATGCTGAACAGTGCTGGATAAAGAGCAAACAGCTCAGGAGCATCTACGTTACAGTAAGGGACAACCGGGGAAAAAAAATCCCTGAGGGGACACCTTATTGCTGCATCTTTCAAGGAGCTGGACAGGATTTTACACAACCACATGACCACCCAACCCAGGCACTTGTGGCCGCCTTCCCCACCCAAGGATGAGCAGCACGATCCTTCAACGGATGAGTACAAGGAGGCCAGTGAAGAGAGCGCCCCAGAAGGCCAGGATCTCTTTGAGAGTCTGGCCCCTGATGGTGGCGAAGTAGAAGGCAAGTCTGATTCCTGCCCTGCAGCAACCAACCACAATTCCCAGACCAGGACAGAGGAGGCCGATCCTATAGAGCAGCGGTTCTCAAACGTTAGCAACTTGAGGACCCCCATTTTTATTTAAATTTTTTCATGGACCCCCAAGTCCCCCACTCAGCCCCACGCCCTGCTGAGAGGGAGGGAGAGAAGTTGATCAGCGGAGCCCGTGGACCTGCTGGAGTACCCTTGCAGACCCCAGTTTGAGAAACACTATAGAGGAAACCTCAACATACAAGGTTTTTACATTTTTATTATACTGCTTTGATAGCTTCGGTTCTGGGTGCCCCACAGCCATTGGAGGCAGATTGAACTAGAAGCCTTTTTGAGGTCCCTGACTCCACCCATCAGCCCATGCTGTCTGTTCCCATTTCACCTTTTGCCATACACCTTTCCAAGATAGCAGGACGGTTGGCCTCCATCTCATACTAACATCTGGACTACTAACAGTTTTCAGACCCTCAAGAGGGAAGGCAAATGCCCAT